CCCCAAAACCCCAAAACCCCAAAACCCCAAAACCCCGGTATTAATAAATTATATTGATTTTTATTTAATAAAATGAACCAAACTAGAAGACAATTGGATGAGAGCATCACCCAGAAGACAATAAACTCCTTGTTCTATTATCATATGATGCTCTTTCTTTCCTGTCCTCTATTCTATTGCATTGGAAGATACGAGTTATCTCTTGCCATTCTTCCTCTCTTCTGGTTTTATTATAAAACATGAATAAGTTATTTCCAGAAATATCATAAGGCGAAGTATGGAGCTCCAACTACAGATCCAGGGACAGACGTCATGAACATTGTTGTGTCAGATAAGACAAAAGAAATGCTAGTTCAGTATTTGACGACGCTAGGATTGAGTATCTTCGCAGCAGTTGGATTGTACCTCCAGTCTGGAAATATGTACCAATTGGGGCTATTCATGATCTCCCTCTCTGTATATCATCTGCTTGAATACTTATTTGTGTTACTACATCACTTCAAGGATATTAAGTTTGATTCGTTCCTTATAAATCAAGGGAAGCACTACACTTTTGCAATGACCTTTAGTTTTTGTGAGTATTTTTATGAATATATGTTTTATCCTGGTTTGAAGGACAATTCAGCTACCTTCTTATTTGTCATAATTGGCGGAATCTTAGCAATAATCGGCCATTTCTTCAGAGCAAGTGCGGAATTTACTGCCAAGAGTAACTTCACACACCATATTTCATACAGGAAAAAGCAGACCCACGAGTTGATAACTCATGGAGTGTATTCTTTCTCTCGGCATCCTGGATATTTTGGATGGTTCCTTTGGTCAGTTAGCACTCAGATTATGATCACCAATCCAGTCTGAATAGTTGGCTTCTATTTCGCTTCCTATTACTTCTTTAAAGACAGGATTACCGAGGAAGAAGACCTTCTCAAGGAATTTTTCGGGTACGATTACATTCGTTACCAAGAGAGGGTTCCCACACGAATGCCATTTATTGATTAATTCAATGATCTTTAAAAATCTAGGGGTTTTGGGGTTTTGGGGTTTTGGGGTTTTGGGG